ACAAGACACATCAACCAGCATTACACGAAGCGCCCCACCAAACACCCCACGATACACCACACGGGATACCCACCGAAGCACCCCACGCCACGAAACCCTCCACGAAACGCCCCTACATTCCACCGCGGGAGCCTCTTTGGGCCGCTATTCGTGATGACGCTGGCGCTGAATAAATAATATCATTTGCAGGACTTGCATTTGCCGATGCGTTTCTCTGCGTCGCGAGCGACGCTGTTACCGTCCTCGGCGAAGGCCGACTTCGGCAGCTTCTTTTGGCATGTGCCACTGCACTGGTAAACTTGCCAACTGCGCACCGTGAGCCCATCGGTAATGCAATCAGCGCATACAACCTTACTCTTCCTTGTGGCATGATAACTCACTTGGTCGTCGCTGATGTGCTCCTACCAGGCGAACTCTTTCTAGCAAGACGCACACGTCAGCAGTCGCTGAATGCGCTTCGACTTATTGAGTACTCCCTGCGATGTTCTGCCATGCTTGCTGCAGTCCCCGCGCACCACTGTACAACCGAAGCTCTAGCGCACCAACCCACAAACATGGAGGCAGAAGCGGTACCGACACCGTTACTCCACGGACCTCTCCTGGGGTGCGTTCTGTCCACATAGAGAGTCGAGCCGTCGCAACGAGGGTTCCCCAGGACGAGCAGCGGTATTGGTATTTGTTCGTTCTCTGGATGACGGTGACGGCGGCGATGACGGCGACAGCGACGCCGATGACTCGAAGCAAGGTGAGTTCAGAGAACGGCAGCTCAAAATCAATTCCAATATACCTCATGGAGTCGACACAGTTGCCGCTCTGCGTCCAGCCGTGGCGACGAGAGAGGCTCCCGAAGGCCAACTACCGCTGTCTCAACTCGCCCTGTAGTAACAACCCTTGAGCGTATCCTTATCCCTAAGATTTGCAAGCCCAGACACGGTGAACATCTGACGGGTGCGCCCTCAGGAACGAAAGAGACGTACGTGTGCGACGATGTTCGGCCATTTGGGGCCCTCGACAAGCCCCGGTACCGCCAAACAACGACTCAACATAAGAACCAGGCCCTACGACAAATCCGCCATCGTGCCTGCACGACGTGGGCGTGTCAGAATGCCAAGTGCTGCTCTGCAGCGCGTTCTATAATTCGGACCCTCCCCCCACCTCTGCTACCACAGTAGCCACTGCATGCCCGCTGTCCCCGAGGCCACGAGCCCTCGCATGTTGTCAACATGGGAGCCGCGCTTGCGAGGCCACGATCCCTCGCTGGAAGTTTGTGCGACCGCGTCCCGAGCTTCCAAGACAGCCCAGGCAAGCAATCAAGGCAACCAAGATGGCCCAAGATGCCTCGAGGCGGCCAGATATGGCCTGCAAACTGGCCAAGATGGCACCAGAAGGGCACAAAAGAGTACCAAGGGGTATGAGAACAACAACGAAGCAACAGAAGCAATGTCGAGCGCCGTGCCATGATTCGGACGAGCCTCGTGAAATTCAGCCCTGGAGCCGCAGAATGTATACAGGGATCAGCGGATGTGGCGCAAGCCTACAGAATCAACAAATAGGCAAAACATCGTCCCCACACTATTTCTGGACTATTTCTGAAATTTCCTCCTGTAGAGGGCCATGTCCGACGTAAGGGTGCCCTCGATTTGGCAGGGCCGCCCCTACTAATCAGGGCCGACTGCATTCTCCTCGGCGGTGGACAAACTGCCCTTTAGTAGACCTCCCCTTAGTGAAAACGGCCCGGGACCGAAACCGACGGACCTGGACCCGCAAAAATGACGGCCGCGACGCCCTCTCGCGAACCGAGGACGGCCAATTCCTTAATCGACGTGTCAGGGTAGGAGGTCTGTCCACCCCCGAACCCGTCGGGGTTCTTCTGACCAGGGTCAATCCAGACCCGGGTCAGTCAGGCCTTGCAGAATCCTGCAAGATCCGGCGCCCAAAGCCGGGTCGATGCGAAGGATCCTGCAAGACCCTGCAGGATCCTGCGCCCCAGCCCGGGCCAATGCGACCCTGGAGCTGCAGGATCCTGCGAGATCTGGCGCGCTGGCCGACCCCCGCTTGCCTTGACCCCCGCCCCCCAGGGGGGGGCGAGGGCGGGGCACGGGGGCGCAGCACGCTGCTTGGTTGGCGGCCTCGGGCTTCCAGGTGGCCAGAGGGGGGGCGTGCGCCGGGCCGGGCGGGGCCACCCTCCGAGCTGGCCCCTGCTGCCCGCTCCCCCGCCGGATCCCCTCCTCCTCCTCCTCCTCCTCCACCTCCTCCCCATCCTCCTTTTCCTTTTCCTCCTTTTCCTGTGTTTCCTCCTCCTCCTCCTCCTCCTCCTCCTCCTCCCTCTCCTCCTCCTCCCTCGTCCTCCGCCCCTACGCCTCATTCCCTAGAAGAACAAATTACACCAGGAAAAAACCCAATGAATGGATGGTTTTCCCTGAGGTGATCGACAAGGAACCCGGGAGCCTGGGAACCCAAAACCCACCGGAATCGGCCCGGAACCAATAATCGGAAACCCGGGAACCCGGAACCCGGGAACCCAGACTGCTACCAAAATCGGCGGGAACTTTCGCCAAATCTTTCAACTTCTGCTAGGCCCCCTTTAGTGCAAGCACTGATTTGGGAATGACATTAACACAACAGCTCGGAGGTCCGCGCGAATTTCTCGAATCCAAGACCCCCTGGCGGCGCCTCTGGCGCGCTCTGCGCGCCACGGGAGGGGGTCCAGCGCGACTCCGAGAATTCCGCGCGGACCTCAGAGTTTTCATGTTTATGTCATTGTTCGTTTCCCTATCATCGGCCGCCCGCTTCCCTTCTCCCCCATCCCAATCCGATTCGCGACGCGAGGGGTCCATGCCACACTATGCTGGGCTATTCCAGCTTCCCCTCTCCTCCTGCCACCCCTCCTCTTCCTGCACGCCCGATTATCCCTCCCCCGCCTCCCATCCCCTGCTTCTCATCCTGGCTCCCCCTCCTCTGCGTCGCCTCGGTGCTGGCTGTGGCCCCCAGATCCTGCGCCAGGAGAACTCCTTGAGAGAGAGGACGGGCTTTAGAGAAAACGCCAGCAGGCCGGTCCAGGCCAGTTTCCTGTCGGGTCAAGCATCCCCACAGCGGCTCACTGGAAACCGCAGCATGTCCCGCAAGCGCTTTCCGACTCGTCGTCCCCAACATGTGGGCCAGAATAACTTGCGCAGTTTGCAGCGCCCATTTAGCTCGAGCGCAGCTCCTAGGCAGTGCTTCCAAGGCTCTCGGCAACACCGAGGCACCTCCGAGGCAGCGCTTCCTAGGTGCCTAGGCATCTCCCAGGTAGCGATTCCGGGGCTCGTGCGCAGCTCGTAAGCAGCTCCTGAGAAGCGCCTCCTGCGCTGCAAATCGTGCGCTGCTATCCGGGCTGCAAATTCACACGTGAGAGGCCAGGGTGAAGGCTTCCGAGCGGCAGCGGCCAGGCGCGCGCGCGACGTGGCCGAAGGAATGGGAAGAGAGTCGGGAGGAATCCTGGAATCAAACCCGTACGAGGAGAAACCTTCGACGCAAACCCACCTCCTCCCATTCTCCCTCCGACTGGCCGAGTCCCGCCTGGACTGCGCTAGCCGCCGCACGGGCGGAGGCGTCGGGCCAGGAACGATGGTGGATGCGCGGAGACGGCCCTGGCCCACCCTCGATTGCCCTCTTGGACCGCTCTTGCTCCATGCCTCCCCCCTTTTGCTGGGGGCTCTCTCTCCTCCATCCCCTCCCATTCGTGGCTGAACGGGGGGCCTGGGCCCAGCCTGACCAGGATGGCGCGCCGACGGCCTGAGGGCGGAGCTGGAGCCAGTCCTAGTGGGTGTTTATTATGGTTTTGTGTTCCTTCTTCGTTTTTTGTTCTTCTTCTGTTCCCCACCCACGCGCACTCATCTTTCCCCGGATGTGAAGTCCCAAGAGAGCTCCAAAGTGAGATCCCGCCAACCTACCCCTCTTTGCCCTCGAGCTCGTTCCCCCCCTGCTTCGTCCCTCACTTGTCGTCGTCATCCCCCTTCTCATTATCCTCCTCCCTCTCTTCATATACCCCCTCCTCTCCTCCTTCCCCATTCTTCATCATTTCCGCTCTCCTACTCGTCATTCTTCCTTCCCCTGCCCCTCCACGTCATCTTCAAATGGCGACAAACTCGGGTGATGCGCTGACTTTCGCAATCAACCGTGCTGTCGCCAGCAGACGCCGGATCGCCAAACCACGGTTCCCTCGGACGCGCTGCGAGACCCGACCTTTCCAGGGGGGCGACAACCAAGCGAACCAACTAATTATGGTCCCACACTGAGACGAAGACATGAAGCAGAATTGCATTGGGTCGGTGCCACACCCCCTCAACCTCCGCATCTCTGGTCGGGCGCTCGGGGGGGACTGGTTCTGGGGTCCTTCGTCCCTCCCTCCCCTTCCCTCCGCTACCCTCCCCCTCCTCCTCCTCCCTTCCTCCTCCTCTCCTCCGCCTCCTTCTCCTCCTCCACCTCCACCTCCTCCTCCTCCTCCGCCTCTCCCCTCCATCCAACCACCTCTTGCTCTCTCCCCTTCCATCCACCTCCATCCTCCGTCCCTCCCTCCCTCCGTCCCTATTCCAGCTGCCACCCGCTGCCCCGTCCCTCCTCCCCATCGCCACCACGAGATCCTCGTGCTTTTCCTCCGCCCTCTCTGCTCAAATTCGTCCCCCTCTTTTCGTCCTCGCCCCACCTCGAGGGTGCATTTCCCTCCCTCCCTCCTCGCTTCTCCTCCTGGCAAACGGATGCTCCTCCCCCTTTCCCTGCCTCCGCCGCGGACCACGAAGGCGACGCCACGACGACGACGACGACGGCGAGAACGACGACGACGACGACGACGACGAGGACGACGACGAGGACGACGACGACGACGACGACGACGACGACGACGACGACGACGACGACGGCGACGGCGACGGCGACGGCGACGGCGACGGCGACGGCGACGGCGACGGCGACGGCGACGGCGACGGCGGCGACGGCGACGACGACGACGGCGGCGCGCGCCCGCCTCCCTGTGCGGCGGGGCCGCGGCAGAGGCGGGCGGCGCCACGCGCGAGGGCCTGCCGCGCGCGTGCCCCAAAGGGGGGCGCCCCCTCCACAGCCGCCGGCCGCCGCCGCTGCTGGGCAGCGGGGGTGGGGGGAGGAGCAGCACAGCGGAGGCCAGTCCACGAGCAACCTTCCAGAAGAGGCCCAACCCCGAGACCCCAGGACGTCCACTGGTCTTTGGTGCAGTGGGAGCGTGATGCTCGCCACAGCAGAATCATCGAGACCTCCGAAACCCAGGGCAATCAGGAGGCAAGCAGGGTGTTTCTTGGCATGGATCTCCACTGTAACAGGAGGGTGCTGCTGGTGTGGCGGTCTGAGAAAGGGGGGTGGGAAGAGGAGGGGTGTGGGGGGAGGAGTAAGCACTTGAGAAATGATGGGGAGGACAGCGGGAGAGAATGAGCGCGATGGACGAGGACCACGAGGGAGGGCGATGACGACGCAGGGCGAGGGGAAAGAGAACGCGGGAGAATGAGCGGAGGAGCGAAGGGGAGGGGAAGGGAAGCGGAAGGAGCGGGACGAGCAGAGCAGGATGAAGAAGCAGAGGGGCAGGACAACAAGGGACATACCCTTCACGATGATGGTGCTGGTGGTGACGATGATGATGGTAGGTTCTGGTGCTGTGCTGCTGCGCCTCTCGTGAGGCAACCCCGAGGAGCCCAAGACTCCTCCAAGCGGGGGGCGAGCGTGGGGAAGCCAAAAGGTACCGCTGCCGCTGCTCCCTGGAACTCTCTCTCTCTGCGCGTTCTCACCTGAAGGTCGAGGCCAATCCAGCGGTGGCGACGAGGGCCTCACAGGCCAAACATGGGGAAAACGAGCCACAAGGATGAGGGACAACGATATGGGGGGGACTGGCATAGCGGGGGACACATCGACTTGGAATCGGCGTTGCACCGCCGATGGATAGGCGATAGGGCCCCGATGGTGAATCCGCACGTTCCTGGGCAAGTTGGGGCAGCGGGCCCCTATCGGCGATCAATGGGCGCTTGGGGATCGATACATCTCCCCCTCTGCCTATCCCCCCTCTCTAGAACAGGGAATAACGGCATCAGCACACACGGTGGGCGCATCGCGTGGATTTCTTGGATCTGCGCTGGACCCCCCTCCCTGGCGTGCCGGGGCGCGCCAAGGGCGCCGCCGGAGGCGCCGCCGGGGGGGGCCCAGCGCGGATCCAAGAAACTCGCGCGGAGCGCCAGAAGTCTATGTTTATGCTGTTGCCCCTTCTTCGACTCGCGTTGCCCCTGACAGGAGCGGTATGGGTACCCATCGGTCGGAAGAAGCAGGTAGAATCATGACGTAGAAAAGGCGCTGAAAACAGATTGGGTTTTATCCCTCCCCCTCAGGAGGACGGAACAGGCGAAGCCGCTCGATCACTGAAGCAGGAAGGCGCTAAAAGTAGACTGGAATCTGGGACTCCAGACATACCTGGAGGGGCCCTGGGACACACAAGTAAATAGACACAAATAACATGATTCCCCATCATTATGTTCCAATCTTTTCTCGGTTTTCGTCGTCCCCCCCGCTGCCCGTGGTTTCCCATATTTTTTCCTGGGAGTCGACGATGATTTGCGTCTGTGTGTTTTTCTCCCCTCCTGACTCCTTGCTTTCGACGACCGATGGGCACCCTTGCCTCCTCTCGGGAGCGGCCAAGAGGGGGGTGTCCAAGAGGGTGCAAATCATGACCGGCTGCACGTGCGCGGCCCAGCGGGGGGGCCCTGGACGCAATGAAAAATAAGCAGGGGCGCCCTGAAGTCCGGGGAAAAATCGTGGCCCGCGCTATGATATCCCCCCCCCCTGGTCATCACCCCCCCTAGTCATCACCCCCCCTAGTCATCACCCCCCCTAGTCGCCCCCCCCCCTAGTCATCACCCCCCCCCTAGTCATCACCCCCCCTAGTCATCACCCCCTTTGCCTCCTCGGAGCCCGGGCCTCGGCGCACCCGCCCAGCTGCTCGGCGGAGCAGCCCCGCAGCCGGGCCCGCAGCTCGACCTCTCGGGGGGGGGCGGGCGCGGGGCGGGGGGCGGCGTGGAGCGCGGGCGCGGCGCGGCCGGCGCGCGACTCCCTGGCGGGCGGCAGTGGGGGGTGGCCCAACCGGGGGGGTGAGGGGGAGGAGGAGGGAGAGGAGGAGGGAGGAGGAGGAGGGAGAGGAGGAGGAGGAGGAGGAGGAGGAGGAGGAGGAGGAGGAGGAGGAGGAGGAGGAGGAGGAGGAGGAGGAGGAGGAGGAGGAGGCGGAGGAGGAGGAGGAGGAGGAGGAGGAGGAGGAGGAGAGGAGGAGGAGGCGGAGGAGGAGGAGGAGGAGGAGGAGGAGGGAGAGGAGGGGGAGGAGGGAGAGGAGGAGGAGGAGAAGGAGAAGGAGGAGGAGGTGGACCCCAGGGTAAACCCAAGTCATCCACGATGCTGGAGTAACCCCTCCCTCCAAGCTCAATCTTCACAGGCCTCTATAACGGCTCATTCCCATTGATGGAACTGCCTCATTGGAAGACGCCCAAATGAAGACCCTGAACCATGCCAAAACGTTGTTCTGATACTTCCAACGCCACGGACCGACCTGACAGTTGCGTCTTGACGATCCTGAACCGTGCCAGAACGCCATTCCTAGGACCTCAACACAGGGAATCACGTAATTGCTGCACCCGCATAATCCTGAATTCTTCCGAACGCAATGTCTGGTACGTTTGTGATGGGAATCCATGGAACTCCAGTAATGTGTAAAAACAAATGTGCGCGGCGCTCAAGCGAGAACCACACTTTGAAAACTACCCACCCTCAATCCGCGAAAATCCCGCAATTTGTTGAACGAGTGTGCGCCGCGCTATGGCGAGAACGACATGTTGAAGCGGAACCGCCCTCCATCAATGAAACTCTTGCAAATGTTGAAACGAATGCGGATGTGCACCGCGCTAAAGCGGGAACCACACTTTGAAAAAAAACGCCCTCAACCCGTGAAACTCTTGCGCATCCTTAATACGAATGTGCGCCGCGCTAAAACGATAACCACTTTTAAACTCTGGTTTTTGGTAAAACGAATGCGCGCCGCACTAAAGCGAGAACCACATGTTGAAAACGAATCGCCCTCAATCCGTGAAACTCTTGCAAATGTGTGAAGTGAATGTGCGCCGCGCTAAGGCGAGAACCACATGTTGGAAAAGAATCGCCCTGAATCCGTGAAACTCTTGGCCATGATTCAAACGAATGTGCGCCGCGCTAAAGCGAGAACCACGTTTTGCAAAGGAACCACCCGCAATCCGTGAAACTCTTGAATTTGTTTTAAGCAACTGTGCGCCGCGCTAATGCGAGAACCACATGTTAAACACGACCCGCCCTCCGTCTGTGAAACGGTAGCCAAAGTTTAAGCTTCAGGATCATAAATGGTGAGAGGAAGTCTTAGGCGAAACGCCCGGACCGGCCTGAAAAACTCGCTTCGGGGTGCGACAGGGAGAACTTATGTATGAGGAAAAGGAATGGAGGAGGAAGAAGAGGAGGAGGAGAGGAAGGGCCCGGACGGGGAGTTTTACAGCCCCTTTGAGAGCCAGCTGGTGCCCCAAAGGGGCCCTAAAGGGCCCCTTTCAGGGCCTTGTTCTTCACCCCTCATTTGGGCCAACCCCCCATTACCACCCGCCCGAGCCCCTGGGGGATGGGGCCCGGCGAGGCGGGGGGGGGGAAGGATCCTGGGTTGGCCCAGGGCTCGAGCGAGAAACGGTCTTCTTCGTGCTCGTGCTGTTCTCGCTCTCCCGCGCGCTGCCTTGCTTCTGCCCCCTGCCACCAAGGCGAGCACGGAGCGAACGCGGCCCACGCTGTCGCCAGCACGCCACTTAGCTCGAGCCCTGTTCTGAGACTCTGGGATCATGGTTATGTCGGGCGTGTCCCCCCTACAGGGGGATTTTCGACGAAAAATGAAAAATAAAAATGCCCCACAATGGCCAAAAAGTACCCCAAACATAGTCCCTGGACTGCGTTTTGCCTATTTCTTGGGCATCTTTTATTTTTCGTCGAAAATCCCCCTGTAGGGGGACAGGCCCGACTTAAGATCATGGGTTGGCCTCGCGCGCGCCCGCGCAGCAGCACGAGGGCCAGGCAGAAGACAGAAAGGCGGCCTCCGACGACGCCGGCGGCGAGGACGCACGACACCACGGCGAGGACAAACGGCACGACGTTGAGACGATCGCGACGACAGACCAACGAGCGCAGCGACGCGAACAACGACGACGACGACGACAACAGGGGGGAAAGGAACACGGGAAAAACACAGGATGGTGGCGATTCGTGCTTTCAGGTATGGAAGTAAGGGTGGTGGAGGTACGTCGGCACCCTTCCCCACGGCCGTCTTCGTTGGCCGTTGGACCGTGGGAGGGCGGAAGCACGAGGAGAGGAATTTGATGTCTTTCGTCCTCCCTAGTCGTCGTGGACAGCGCCACTCCTGTCTAATGCGGGAAGTGGGCCCAGCGAAGTGGGGTGGGGGGGTGGGAAGGGATCTGGCTGGTCGGGGCGCGGGGGACAAGTCCTGGCAGTGATACGCCAGCAGCAAGAACGTACTCCCTGCGTCTCGAACTAATTCGCGGCGAAGTGGCGGGGTAGAGGGGGGGGGGCGGGACGCAAGGCCGGAAGCGTAAGGCAAGGAATGAGAAAGGGCGGGGCTTCACGTGACGCAAGCAAGGAGGGAGCAAGAGGATGGGGTGGGTTACGTCTCCGACGATGGGCCCCATGTTGCCTACCAGCCCTGGGTGGTCTGCGGCGGTCTCTGGCGGGCTTCAGGCGGTATTCGGCGGTGTTCGTTTGTCTTCTGCGGTCTGATGACGGTCTTCGGCGGTTTTGACCCTCCTGTGGCGGTGTCCAATGGTCTTCGGCGCCAGAACTGGGCAGTTGCGGTTAACAAGGTGTCCATGATCGAACACATACTCAAGGTGAGGGACGAATCTGACGTCAGTGGCCTTCCCTCTGGGCCTCCAAAAGCATGTGGCGACGGACCGCGCGGTGACCTCGGGTGCTCAACGAAATCGATGTGCCATCCTGCGTCGCGCGGCTTTGGGATCTCGGAACCCCCCCGGCCCCCGGGACGTGCACGGAAAACGGCCCCAGACCCGAAGCCATGCGGTGACGCCGGATCCCCGTGGACTCACCACGCCCCGACTCTTGGGGCCCCCCGCCGAAGACCCGGAGCGCGCACGCCAACGCTGCAGGGCGCCCGGCCACCGAACCCCTGCGGCACGCGGGCAGGGGCGCACGAAGGGCCGCAGTCCACGGGCGTCAGCTCGATCGGCAGCGGCCTACGAGGTAGTGTAGGTGGGCGGCCCTCTTCCTTTCCCTCCCCTCCCTTCCCTGACACTGCCTTCTCCAGGCCAGCCACACTTGGGGGAGCTGTGGTCCTTACCCCCCTGGGGGGCCCATCGATTTCGACGATCTCTCGAGAGGGGTGTCGAAATCGATGGGTCCCCCAGGGGGGGTAAGAACCACAGCTCCCCCAGTTGTGGCTGGTCGGTTCTCCTCTTCATTTCCTCCTACGCCCCAGGGCGGCACGACTCGTCTGGCGTTGGTAAGGAGAGGCCGGCGGGCAACACTGCATGCCGTGGGTCGTCGATCGCGGGGCCGGGCCGCCTCGTGATCCCGGCCAGGACGCGTCGCGGGAAATGTCCAGAGTCCAGATGGGCACGGAGGTCACAAGGGGGGGGCGGGGAGCTCCCCCCCTTGTGTTGGGATGGACTGGCCCATGGGCCAAACCGCCCCCTTCGGGGGTGGACAGACCCCCCTTTAGTAAAACGCGGTTTAGTGAAAGCGACCTGAGGCCCAAACCTGGCAGGCGCAAGCCTGGAAAATAACGGCCACGGCGCCCTCTCGAAAACCGAAACCGGACAATTCACGAATCGACGTGTCTCTGTTGGGGCTTCTGTCCACCCCCGACCCCTGCTCCTCGGCACCGAGACCTTGCCGGGCTTGGGCCCTGGCTTGCGGGCGGGCCCCCGTCAGTGCTTCGAGCTCGCGCCCTGCCGCGGCGCGCGAGGTCGTCCCGAGACAGGGTTTTATTATTTTCCCTAAGTAATCAATGTATATGCTTCTCACATCATGTTGTCAATGTTTGTTTCCTTGTCTTCTGTCAATTGTTCTAGGGATTTCTTCCAAAAAGCAAAACGATCAGCAGTTCGACTCGGCGCGACGCGACGCGCGGGCGTCGCCAATTTTGGCCTGTCGCGCGAGGCTCAAGTGCCACTCGCCCTCCGTCCCGATGCGCCCGAACGCGAAGCAAAAACAATGGCAGGGGGAGGGCGGAGGAAGGACGGAGGGGGGAGGGCCCAGTGCACAACAGGGCCCCCCCCCGGAACCCTGACAGGGATACCGACGGAAAATAAACACGCGCTGAAGACGATGGGTCGCAGACGCCCCCCGCCTGAGAACCCCAAGTCGGGCGCTCGTAGGGCAAGCTCACCCGAAAGGTCCCCACCCCCCCTCGGGGGAAAGAAACGCCCAGGACACAAACACGAAAACTGGCTAAACATTCTGGGTGAAAGGGAGGACACCCAAAGACGCCCCGCCCGAAGGCGGGGCGGCCGCGCCCGAAGGCGGCTCTAAGAAGCTCCCAATCCTGATCTTTGCAAGGATGGCAATGACCTCACGACTCACGCACGGGGTTGTAGTCCTTCCGCGGAAACCGTTCCATTGGTAAGACATCCGCAGCCAGGAGTACGTGTAGAAGTGGAGCAAGGCAAATGTGTACCCCAAATAACGATGACCATGACCCAACAAAGGAAAATTGACAAACAAACAGCATGTCGGCGAATCCATCCGTAACAAAAAACGAGAAACGCGACATAATGAGAAGACACAGGGAACAAGCACGAAACATGCGATGCAAAGAGAAACATCCGAGAAGAAACCAAGGATCTCGATATGTGCAGAAACCAACCCCCGACATCATTTTTCTCCGACGCAAAATGAAACAATCTTACGATGTCCGCACTCTGTATTGTAGTTCGTAAGGCTAAGACTGCCTGCCTTGC